ACTCCTTAAAATGTGTACAATAAAGGCCTCTAAACAGATCTTTTATTTAGTTTTATTATTTATACACAAAAAAGTTGTCGAAGTGACAGTATGTTTTTTAACCGCTGGAGTGGTTTAACCCCTTAACGGCATACATACCCCCAACACATCGAGGCGTCTAAGAATAGGTAAAATTAGGGAATTTTCTTTCATTTGTAATTAATAAATGAGAAGTTTCTAGTTTTCAAAGTATAAAAATGTAATTTTCTATTTTATTTTCCACATTTTTGAAGTTATTTTATTTACATTTGATAAAGTTAAAATCTTACAAAATGGAAGAGCTATTCGCTAATTCCGAAATCTTGTCTGTATAGTATCAATTGTTAGAATAAAAAATTCTTTTTCATTTATAAATAAGAATCTATTACCTACAATACAAAAATGACAGCAATTTAAAGAGGAAAAACCTTTTTCTATGAAAAAAAAAATCATCAACTTCAAACAATTCTACGTTACATTGAACGTAGTATATGCTTATGTACAAATGAAAAAGCATTTCTTTGGAGAATAAAGATGAAAGTTGCATTTATATCCTTTGAAAACTTGAAAGTTTTCAATTAGTAATTACCTATGAAAAAGTTGCCATGCTTTGTCTATCTTTACACGCCTCACGATCTAAAGACTCAGAAAAAGGGCACTTTTTGGGGTCTCATTTCTTACAGAATTGGTAAGAGATAATTGAATGTAGGTTTTTGGGACCAATTGAGCAACGTTTTGAGATGAAATTCGTATTGCAATAATGTGAAAAAACATATCAATTCATAAATATGAATGTAAATCCGCACCAGTCTTCAAAAGAGATCAGTGATTACAATAAGTAGTAATAACAGGCAATAGTCAGACGCGTCAGCCGAGTTGTATTCAGAAGCACGTGTATTCAACATATTTCCACTGATCGCAAATACAAAGCCGTATTTACAGAAGTTTCATTCTAGATTTTGTGACTCGCCTATTCATGAAAACTCACCCCTTTGGCATAATTGTGCTCCACACTTTCGACTCTCACTTTTATGAAAAATCACCTGACTGTAAAAATCGGATTCTCAGCGTTTGACTTACCTTTCCATAAAGAAACACCTGTTCGCGAACATTTTATTTCAGATTTCCCCCTTACTTCTTTTTCTGAAAAGTTTCCCTATTGCAAAAATTGTATTCCAGTGACTCCGACAGATTTTTCATTCCTCGACTGTTTTTCCATAGAAAAAGTTCGTAGACAAAAATTTCATAAAACAATCCACCCCTTTGTCACTTGTCCCGCCAATAACAGACCATCCAGTATATATGCACTGCATAACCCTTCTGAAAAACAAAAACCAGAAAAATAAATTTGAACGCCTATGCATAATTGCGTCGAAATGACTTTCCGTTATCGATCCGTGATAAAATCACCGATACACAGAAATCTCCACTTCTCCCGCGTTTAAAGCAATCCTCCGTCCTCGTCGTTACCCTCCGCGATCCTGCTAGGATACAAAGGGGAAAAAAACAACGGGGATTCCGCTCCAGAAAGCCCCGCGGCCTTCTCCCAACGCGATTTTTTTTTCTAATTGCTGCGCCAACCGGCTGCCGTCTGCCGCTCCAATATCCACGGAAAATGCGCGAGGATACGATCTTAATGAAAATTTACCCGACACGCAACCGTTTTTCCTTTAACGACCACGCGCGAGTACCTACTTAAAACGCTTCACCCTCCGCGTCCTTGTCACCGTCGAATGTGTAGAACGACTGACAGATATGAAAAAGACGGCGAGTACATAATCTTCAGGCGCCATTATCAGAGAAATATTCGTAATTAATTTAAGGGGTCATACACGTTTCTCAATGCCAGAAAATCAATTTTTTTTCTCAATATACATACAGGGTGAGTCAATAAGAACTACTATTTGAAATAACTCATTAGATGTTGGTTGTATCGAAAAAACATTTTAATGATGTTGCATTTTAAGGGACGCATCGGATGGATACGATTTGGTTTTTTTATGTTATTTTGTTTGAGATATCAAGGTGACCATGAGTTAAAACCTCAGGATCACCTTGATATATAAAAAAAAATGCTACATGATTCATTAAAACGTTTCGATTAAACGGTCAGTAGGTAACAAATTATTTTAGATAGTAGTTCTTTTTGACTCACCCTGTATAAAACGTGTTATATTTGTAACGTACAGCGTGTCCAACAGGTTTCAAAAGAAATGCTAGAATGGGTTGACGCCTAAGTCGTTTCGGAACGGAGTTAAGGTGGCACACTAAGATTTTCAATAATTATAAATTTCGTTGAAAATTTAACAGAACATTCTTAAGAGCTTCCACTTTCGATTGCAATTACAACTTTAAATCGTATCGATTGCTTGGAGACTTTTCTTCTATTTTGGAATTTTCGTTTTTCTATGTATCCACTAGGCGCGTTTCAAAAATGGCGGGACCCACGGTTGCGGGACCACGATTCCATTCGTTCGCTGATTAACAGAGAGGATTTAATTTTCCATTGTAATTGGTTCCATTAATGAGATTCCCAGACCGAATTGGAATTTATGAATAAATTTTCCGGAGCCCGATATATCACCGTCCGGATCAGCATTATGGGTGTCACGAATGGCTGACAGAAGCGATTTCGGTGCTTTCGTTCGAGGGCCGACACACAGCGGAGAAGCGTGATTAAAAATACAGTCGAGAAGCCGATTCGATGATGTCCTGTTTTAAATTCCAATTACAGGATCGCGGTGGCGTTTCACTTTGACCAAACTAATACGGCGAAATTAAATTACGATCGACTTGATTATTATCGATAAAAAAAAAGACAGGAAAAATTGAATTGTCGCACGATGAATTTAATAAAACGAGCACACCAGAACAGATTGTACGAGAAATAGAGAAAAATCAAGAATTATTGTGTCAGGTGAATGTGAATGTCATGAGTGTCATGTTTAATTTTATATCGTGGTTTTATTCCGTTTTATCGACGAGGAATTCAATTTATGAAAATGGGGGAACCTGTTTGAGTAATTGTTTGAGTAAGACTTTTCTCGTGGAAAAATATAAATATTATTTGATTTACAATAATAGTTACTTTATCTTAAACAATCTTAATACTCCAATTATTTTTGGCCATGAAATGTATTTTATGTTAATTTTTTCTGATAGTGAAAATTTCCAATTTATTATTTCGTACCTTCAACAATGTTTATGAACGTTTCCGATTGTAAGCAGTGCATGTTTCATTTGTGATTTTATTTTAAAAATTCCACCTTCGAAATACTTACGTTCGAACAATAAGAATATTATCCATTTTAATTTGTATTTAACCTTTTAACGTCTAGTATTGCATCGGTGCGATACACATTTTAAAAACGCGTCAAATTCTGTCGTTTAATGTTAACATTTGTCAGAAAGGATCTGTCGTTTCACTGACGTGAAGTACATCTCCACGTTTTCAGTTGAGAAATTCAAGTATTCCCTCCAAAGATAAATAAAGAAAAGAAAACAAAATAGATCTGTTTAATATCGACATTTTCGACTACAAAATAACAAGATACAACATATACTAGGGAATAGTGAATATGGTATCGTTGTTTAACAATATTGAAGGAAACTATTACAATTACACGAGTCTGTCCGAGCAAGTTCGTTATCCCTGTTATCCCTACAACAGGAACACACGAGAAACTGAATTTACAAACTCGCGACGTATATTCAACGGTGAAATCCTGTTCGAATCAACGATTATTCCATCAACAATGTATATTTATATTTCGTCAAAATATTGTTTCAGGTAATGAATTTGCGATTCCATTTCGCTCAGAATCCCATTTTCTGTGTGATCAACACAGCACTCATAATTCTGTGAATCAAAGCCGTGGTAAATCAACAGCCCAGAGCTGATCAAAGTGCAGCAAAGCAAAGAAACGATTTTTAAACAAGAACTACCTCTATCCTGATCATATTCTAGCTGTTTGCGCTAATGAACAGCGTGACAATTGTTATTCGATAATCGAAAAAAGCAGTCTACGTTAAAAGTTCTTATTTCATAAAAAAAACATGTATTGCGTTCTGGAATTAGATTCCTCGTGATTTTAAATTTTTTTAAGTAGAAAACAAATGAGTAGGTTTAGAATCACGTGAATTACCGTCATGTCCCCTTTTCTACTCACCAAAATTTTAATAATGTTGTACACTCTATTTCTATTCGAAGGCATTTTATTTTTTATTTATTATTATTTTATGCGTTAAAGATAATTTACTTATACCTTCTTTATGACGAGTAGACGCTTGAATGAGTAGACATTCGGACACTCCCCTCATGTATCATTTGAAAGAAACTCCGTCCAACTCAGATCAAAACGTGATCACACTTCGTAATTTTTATACCCTCCATCATTTCAAAGCTTCCTTCACGCGTATCGAAGCAATCCGTAAAGAAAGCTCAATGTTCTCTCTGGTTTTCCAGTTTCAGGCAGTCCACGATGCTAAAGAAACCGGACGAACGATGCGCGCATACACTGGTCACGACCTCATGGACAGATCGAGATCGTGCTGGACAAAAGCCACCGCCTGGAATTCAGCCAAAGGGTCGACCGATCTCGAAATCGCCGTTTCGTTCCGTTCCGTAGCACAGATCAACGCCCACTCGTAGTGCTCCAAACGCAATATCAACTAAATAACCTGGAGGTGTTCCAGTTAGCTATCCAACGAAAATGTCCTCATCGTTCCATCGAGAGGTTTTGATCGAGGATCTATAGGCCGCCTTGGCAATCAAATCGTCTTGAAAATTCCGAACTACCGTCTACTAAATTCAAAGTTCTCGATATGGATCATCCGGTAAATCGTAAGGAGGACGTAGACGGAGACGACAGAGAGACAGATCACCGTGGATCACGGTAACGAAACCCCCAACCGAGGAGCTTAAACAAAGACAGGAAAGAAGGAAGGGGATATATCATTCAGAGGTGCTGCGATCGTCCAAGATGGCGTTGAACGGAACAATGGAGCATAATCACGGAAACGGAACGGTGCTATCGGGCATACCGAAAATTCTGATCGACACCGGTCAAAGGAATCGCTCGGACGTGTACGACGTCGACGTGAACGGCCACGAGTTCGAGCATGTACTACGGCTGATCGCCAAGGCGACCGTGATGGGTTTCATAATCCTGAGCGCGTTGCTCGGCAATCTATTGGTGATCGTGTCCGTGATGAGGCATCGCAAGCTACGGGTCATCACAAACTATTTCGTGGTCTCGTTGGCCCTGGCGGACATGCTTGTCGCGATATTCGCGATGACGTTCAACGCGTCCGTTGAGCTGTCCGGCCGTTGGTTGTTCGGTTACTTCATGTGCGACGTGTGGAACTCGTTAGACGTGTACTTCAGCACCGTGTCCATTCTTCATCTGTGCTGCATCAGCGTGGACCGTTATTACGCGATCGTCCAACCGTTGGACTATCCGTTGATAATGACAAATTTCCGTTTGAGCGCGATGCTAAGCGTGGTCTGGTGCTCGCCGACGGTGATGAGCTTCCTGCCGATATTCGCCGGATGGTACACCACCGAGGAACATCTAGAGTTTCGGCGTAGCTACCCGGATGTGTGCGTTTTCCAAGTGAACAAACTGTACGCGGTGGTCAGCTCCAGTGTTAGTTTCTGGGTGCCCGGTATCATTATGATCGCGATGTACTACAAGATCTACAGGGAGGCCGATCGTCAGGAACGAATGCTGTACCGGTGAGCGGATATTATTGCGATACTTTGTTTGTTTGCGACGAGAACGGGGCAGAAATAATCGAGTAGGGCCGTCACGAATATTCGAATAACTCGAATAACTCGAGTATTCGAATTGAAATAGAATTCGAGTTTGATTCGAATGCTCCATATTATTTGAATATTAAAATATTCGTATGTTCGGTACTATTCGAATTATTCAAGGTATTCGAATTTATCGAATAAATTATTCGAATTATTCAAGGTATTCGAATTTATCGAATAAATTATTCGTATTCGAAATTATTCGAGTTATACGAATAGTTCTAATAAATTATTCGTATTCGATTTATTCGAATATCCGAATACTTATAGTTCTAGTTTCGAGTTATATGGGCAGAACTCTTCGTAGTCATTGTTCCCTTAGTTTCAACACCAGCGGATATAATTTTGGAAGTTCATTATAAACGAGACACCGTACGATTCAGCGCGCATTCACCGTTAAACAAGAATACCGCGTGTTTCCAGCATTTAAGCCCTGTAATTGTCGAGCAACGATACACTCTGCTCTTTCTGACCCAATTTCGAGATGTCTCTCCCTCTCTCTCTCTTCCTCCCCGCGCGTCATCCCTGTTCTGCGTAAACCACCGACGAATGCGGCGGTGTACACAAATTTCCGCGAGAACAAAGGCGTTCCTCTCGCGATCGTCGCCATTACATTTCACGAATAACCCACTAATTACTGTATTCCCGTTCGCTGTTCCCCATCAATTATTTAGCCGCGCAATTACCCCGGCCCTCGATACTGACTCGAGATTTCAATCCGTTCTGAATCCGTATCCGTGCCCACACGTCTGTGCATGTGTGTATCGAATTCGAGCAGGACGTTTTCAATGGCGATACAGCGCGCCACTATTGAATCGCTGCAGCGCGTTCCTATCGTTCGTCGACTGCCCCAAGAATTCGCGAGGTTGAATATTTCACCAAAAATAAATAGCCTAATAGAGGAAACTAAATTCCGATCAGTTTTGTTTTTTCGTGCAAGGTGTTTCAGAAGGAATGGTGAACATTTCAGGAGGTAGATAGTATGGAATGTTTCACGTGAAAAAGTTCTATTACCATCTCCAAAAATATTTACCAGTCCTCCTGAAACACCCTGTACAGAGGGTGAACCACAAAACATGATCAGCTCAGATTACACTGTCCAATAAATTTTATTTTCTGATTAGCAATATCAATTGAGAGATCCTTATAGTTTCTCGTCCAGATCACGAATCCGGAAGCAGAATTTCTCTACCTCTCACAGTTTTTCAAAAACATGAGCTTCTGTACAAACACCCGTTTTTGGGCAAAATATGACATATTACGAGAAAACTAACCTGTATAAGCTACAACAGTAACAATAAATATCTCGTAATCTAATGGCCACTTACGACTGTAACACGAGTATCATTAGCTCCAGAATTCCAAGATCGATCACAATGCTGACCCTCATTATAAAAACTCAGAATTATACCTGTGTCCTCTCCTTGTAAACGTTAAAATTTTAATTGCTGCTGCACTCCCTGTTTTTTCTCTACCCAGCAGAACGAGAAACGTATTTTCCCTCCAATCTGATTTATTTATTGTAGATTCAGTGGTCCCGCGCAAATAATCTTCCAACGAAACCTCCACCCCTCGTACCATCCTCCACCGTGGAGCCTTCAGGGCAATTTGTATCGCGATCGTTACCGCTACGCTCGTCCGGCAATGCTCTATTAGCACGATAAACGACGCGAATAAATATAAAACTCCGAGAAACGGAAAATCTTTCAATTTCACGTTATTAAACCTCTCGAGGTGAACGCTTTCCATGAATCACCGAGAATGGTTATAAAGCCCCTTCACCCATACCCGAGACATCGACAAACCAGCAATTAACCGACAATTTATCGAGTCAGCTTTTACCGATATAGACTGTCTTTCTTGCATCTGGCTACTCTAGACAGGTCGCACAATGGCCCAGAATCAAAATTCAGCCGTTCAAATGATCAAAAACAAATTTCTTTTATATTAAACAAAAAAACACATTAACTGAAAGATTGAGAAGGTAACTGTTACGTTAAATCTACGCTTATAAGCTCCTATGTCACTGAAACTGTTAGTTTGATGTTGGAAGGTTTATTGGTATTCTAGACCTTTGAAAAAAACGATTTTTTTCTGAAACAAACAATCCAAACGGATTCTTGATTAGTATAACTGGTCGTTATCGTTCGAACTAGAATTAACGATCTATCCTCAAAATGAACAAAAATGCAAAAAAAATGTTCTTTGGCTATTTCCTTTTTCCTTGTTATTTTTCTCTGCCATTTTGTTGTTATGTTAATTAAAACATAAATAGTAATCTCCCAAAGAAGATGCAAAACGAAAAATTTAAGTGTGTTTATGATCTATTCTAGATGGTCTTCAATAGTGCAAACCAAGGAAATTGAAAAAAAAAACTCTTCATAATTACGTAAATGGTGTCGTTTAATAAACAAAAAATTTCTATTCCTGATAAACAGAATCAGACACCTTTGAACACCAAGTGACGATGTAACAAAGTTACAATTATTATTTTAATTCGTACTATAGAGACACTTTTTCGATTGGTGTGTACCAAATTTCAAGTGAATCGGTTCAGAATTTTAAGTTATAAGGGGGTTGGACACCTGCGTTCAGAGCACACTGCCACGAAGCCATAAGATCCGTGAATCAGCAGAGACGGACAATTTTAATCGATGCACTGACAACAATAATACTCATAATGGTCACGTTATGCGGTTGTCTCTGTACGCTTCAACGTCTCGATTGCATGACTACGCGTAACAAAATCGTATCGCTGCTATTAGACTGCGGACATTTCATGTACTTATAGCGTGCCCGTTTATTGTCTAAAATTCAATAACAGAGTGGAACAAGAACCATCAAAATTGTACGACTGTCTTCTAGTAAGTGGAGAAAAAGAAACTTCCTTTTAACTTTACTCAAATGTTTATGGGACCGACCTAAGAATTTTGCCGTGCTTGGTTGGCGCTACTCTTAGACCTTAAAGGAGAAAACCACCCTTTTTATCCGACGTGTCCTTTTTACTTATTCGCTTGCGACTCGTAAACTATAATAGATATCGGAAAACAGTTTAAACAAATTTCATATCGTTTTTTGTTGTTCATATATCGATAGGAAGACATTTTTGAGAAAACAATTTCTTTTCGAAAATGATTTTAGAAAATAGTTCCTTTGAAATTTTCTTCCTATCGATGTATGGATAACTGAAAATGAGACAAAATTTATCGAAATTTTTTTCGATATATTTTGTAGTTTACGAGTTACAAGGGAATAACTAAAAAGGACGGCTGGTTTCTCTCGTAAAGTGTAAAAGTAGAACTAACCAAGTATTAGATGTATCATGAATAATAAAAAGAAAGGAATTCCACCCCTATATTTTGTTCCAGCCTGTTCAATGCAGCGAACAGTTAGAATGAAGGTTAATGCAATTCCTCGATTTCATTTGGAACACTATTGAACACCTTCACAGTAAATTCTCGATGAGTGTTCGATGGCTTCTCGGAACTGACAAGGGAAGATCTCCAGGTGTAAAGCTGACTTTTTAATGAGATTTAGCACAGTGATAGAGCTTGGAATTCTGAAGCCAATGATATTTGTTTCAGTCACATATCACTATTAGTTTATGAAATATTTATTGTTCAGTGCCGAGGAGCCTTCGACCACTTATCAAGGATTTACTGTAATAGGGTAAAGGAGTCTCCATGTGAATTTACTACCCGGTAAGTTGGACGCTTAACGATCGATATTTGCATAAATATCCGAAGTCCGGTGATTATTTGCAAGGGCGTGCGGAGTCGCGAGATCCAGGTCATCTTTCTCCTCGATTTCCCTGCCGTCTGATTTACAGGCCGCACGTCTCCCTGATTTATTCGGTGGCTTTTCCTCGTTTGGTTCCCTTGACTCGCGGGAATGATACGTAAGAGTACGCCTTCGATCCCCAGGGATCCCCATGGACAGACCCTTCAAGGCTATCGCGGTTTCGCTTAATAACCCTGTCAGTCGATGATTTCTTCAATCAGAATCATTGATCAGAAACTTCATTTTTGTATTGTGTTTTTTTAGTAGTTGTATGCACAGATTCAAATTCAAACAGTTTTTCCGTTCTAACCTTTTAGATAAACAGGTGAGCAGTGTTTCTCATTAAAATTAAGAAAGATAATATATATATCAGCAATATTTTTTCGTTTGACGATACACAAAAATTTAGAACAATAGTTAAAGACAATACAAAAACAACCGACTAAACTTCGAATTAATCTGTCGAACAGTTTTTGTGCAAGAAATTCGCAAAAAGCACCTATTTTACGGCCCACAACCTTTAACATTATTTGTACTTCAATGAACCTCGTAATAGACGAAACCAATTTTTCTCATCAGTTTTTGCAAAATAATCTACAAAAATGGGAATATTCATGAACTCGTGCAAATCGTTTATGACACTGAGAATAATGATATTCAAACTGTTGTTTCCGATTTGAATGTCTTCGAATGTCGAAACCGAAACATTCATCCAGAAACGGATGCGCAGACAATTCACACCGAGCCATTTACCTTGTGAATCACGTAATCAACGTATTCTGTGTACCTGTTGCGTTCTGAAAACGATGCCATAAGCTTCGGGATGCAACGCTTCGAATCCCTAATCACTGGGTCACAGAAACGTCCTTGGCATTACTATCCTCAAACGTACTTATATTAATGAAAAATACCAAAAAGATAGCGAAAATTCGAGAAATAGTTTTACATATGAAAAATTTTTATTCTTAACGAAACATTTCACCAAAATCGAATGAAAAATATCTATGTACAAGCAATCTCTATTAATTTCAATTAGATTCATTGTAATCGACGAGGTCTGGTTGCTTGACAAAACATCAGAACATAAGAAAAATACTCAAACACGAAATTTCTTTCAACACATTGACTACCACTGTAGT